CAATATCAGTGTCACTGATATCCTATTGTGGAGGAGAATAAAATGCCAGTGGTTTATGAAGAACTCCGCTGTGAGAAAACTAAATTGTAAAGAGAAATTTTCTCCTACAGATAATCCCCCAGATAAAATTGGCGATTCACTTTCATTGCTATTTGTAGGACATTGTTGTGTGCAAATTGGCAGCCACTTTTGTTTAACAAATGCAGTTGCTAGAATTTACAATGAATCCTGTGAAGCGCTTTGAAATATGTCCTCCTGACATGAAAGGTGCTATATCAAATACAAGGATTGCTATTATTACATTGTTTTATTTCTGAGGCTTGTCACGGGGTTCATATCAAAGAGGAAGAAATAGTGTTTTCAAAGGGCCAGAGGACAGATTGTAATTTGGGAAATGGTTAGCACTGAATTTGCTTTTCTTATTGACTTGCACAGTATTTGTCAAATTGAAATGTAATGCATTTAAGTATTGATCAATCAACTGTAACTCAGTGGTTAAAGCCCTCACCTCGCAAGCAAGAGACTTGGGTTCGATTCCTGGCAGGGCGAAATGTTGGGCAAGTTTCCTTACTTCAAACGCCTCTGTTTACCTAGCAGTAAGTATGAACCTGGCCATTAGCGGATTGCTTTCCCGGGAGTAATTATTCCTGAAAAAAAATTAGTCACTGTTTGTGGGACACTCCTGTGCACAATTGGCTGCTGTGTTTTGCCCACAAATATATAGTCAATTCACTTTAAGTATATTCTGTGAAGCACTTTGAAAAGCCTCGAAGATATGATACGCGCTATATCAAGTGCAAGGATTATTATTATTATTATCTCCAATTTGAGGAGGCCAATGGGACCTTTGTTTAACATCTCATTTAAAGGACGTCACCTGCAACCAAACAGCAGTTCCCCCCCAAACTGTATTGGAGTGTCAGCCAAGCTCTGAGTCTGATTCTTGATGTAAACAGTAGCACACTGAGTAAATTCACAACAATTGCAGGGTAAACAATGTTAGGCTACATCGCCTGCTATACTATGAGTGTTATTCAAGTGGTGGTGCTAACATCTGAGCACCATGCTTTGTGCGGACTCAGCATTTCATTTTTAAAAATCCCATGTTTGCCCCATATTTTTTTCCTCACACACCAAATAGCCGTCACTGCGTATTGATGTCACATGATACTTGCACTTGACAAAACTTCCAGTCAATTTTCTTGATCACAACTGAACAAAGATACAACAACAACAACTTGCATTTATATAGCACCCTTCACGCAGGGTCGTGTCCCGATTTGCTTAACTGAATATTATCTGTTAACTAATGACACTAAAGATCTAGAAATACTCCTGGGTACCAGGTTGCTAAATTGGTTACCAGCAGTCATTTGCAAATTGGTATTAATGAACACATCAAAGAATTGGGGAATTCTGTGAGAATAACACACACAAACAATCACGTGTATGAAAGTCTAGTACCAGCAGGATTGACCAGCTAGCTTTTTGTGCTAAATAATTGCTGTTTTCTGGGGTGTCATGTCACCACTGATGACACGTCCTATGCGTTGAGCATGTGCAAGCTGTCTGCAAAAAGCACGACGAGCATCTCCTCCTGCATACTGCGCATGTAAGCTGGAAATGCCACTGACATCACTTCATTCAGGAAATAATGTTGACGGAGTTTCTTTCAAACAACAAGCCGGCACAGAGCACAGGAATTGACACTGGTGACAACGCAATGTACTGGAAGTGGGATCGGTGGCCATTTTTATTCCATAGGCCCCATTAAAAATCAACATCTACTATTTTTGGATCCCAAACACAATAACATGAAATTTTACTAGATTTGCCACTCGGAGCAGGTTGACGGAAGGCAGATGGTCCAATGAGAAGAGGCTGTTGCACTACAGTATTTTAGCGCCCATAGTGGCTGTTCTTTTAGTGATTCAATTTCTAAGATGAAACAGTTAAAAATAACTGATTTATTTTTAAAAATTAACCCACGTTAGAGTGGAATTAAAGTAAAAGTTTGGAATTTATTTGTTGTTTTTCTTATCCTTGACATTGTAAATGCCTTCAGAACAGTCTGGAATCTTTTTCAGGTATTTATAATGGGAGGTTCTATTGTTATGGCACACATAATCTTATAAATTTGTCCAGTCTGACAGAGTTTAGCATTAATTAGACTCGACTATATTCCTTTTGTGAACGAAGCAAAAACAATTTGCCAAGAAGCAGATTTATTTAACAGAGATAGAATTAAATAATTCAGCTAAGAGCAGTGGTTTTGTTTCCAACACAGTTCTCAAGAGTCAGTTTTTAAGTATTGAATACCCTCTTAGAAGTTCTGAAAATGCTGAATGTGTTCTTACAATTCTGGTAGGAATTTTAATATGACTTTTGATCTATTTTGAAAATCAAAGTAAAACCTTCAACAGAGTATTTCCAAAACTCTCTCAGTTTGTAAAATCTATTAAACCTTTAAATTACAGTTCCAACAAATGTCACATATTCCAAACTGCAAAGTTTTAAAACAACGTCACACATCTTCTGAGCCAAAAGCTTCTCGTTATCTCTAGTGTTATATCAAATTGATTCATTTCACTCCCCTGGGAAGCCTGGAATCATAACAAATAATAATGCTTACATCGGATATAGCATGTTTCATGTTGTTGAAAAGTCTCAAAGCACTTTACAGGATTTATTGAAAAGTGTAGTGACTGTGTATTTTATAGACAAATGTGGCAGTCAATTTGCCTACAGCAATGTCCTAAAAACAGCTATGAAGTGAATGATTAATTTTATCCAGTGGATTGTTGGCCAGACCAGAAAGAGAAACTCCTTTCTCTTTTTGAATAGTGTCATGGATCCATAATAATAATCCTTGGATTTGATATACCGCTTTATCACGTCGTTGAGACATTTCAAAGCGCTTGTCAGAATATACTGTAAAGTGAATTGACGGTGTATTTTATGGGTAACCACAGATGCAGAATCCAGTGAGGTGTTTCAGAGAATGATTGATAGGTTCTCGGGAAGTCAGTATATAAAAGTTAGGAGCCGGAATTTTTAATGATGAAATCGGTATGGTGCTTAATATCCACAGATAAAATTAGTTTACTTTTTTGGCACATCATCATTCAGTGTTTTGTTTAAAACAAAATGAAACATACATTTCACCAAACGTGATTAAACTGTAAAATGTTTCACTGTTCAGATATGGTTTATCCTCCAGATAATATTTTCATATAGACCTGTCCACTCCCTCCGCTCAGTGGATTCCGGCCTGCTCCATGTCCACCGCCTGGCCCACCCAGCCCGCTCAGTCCACCCACCATTGGTGGTCAGGCCCTCAGCCTATATGGCCCCATCCCACAGTCCCTTTAACTCGCTCCCTCCATTGCTCTTTCAAGGCATGTCTCAAAACCCTCCTCTTCGACCGCATCTTTGGTCACCCTCCTATCCCTACTCTTACTGCCCTCCATCCCTCCTGATCCCAAGCCCCAGCTTGGGTTAGAATCCCTCACTGTTCAGCTCCTTGGAACGTCCTTGTGACATGAAAGACGCTATACAAACGTAATTCATTGTTGATGTTGTTTGATTGTACCCTACCGTATTTCTGTACAAGTGAACAACAAAAATAACAACTTGTATTCATGTGGGATAAAGTCTCAGAGTGCTGTACAGTGCTGAGATTGGATGCTGAGAAAGAGAGAAAGGAGAGGTGGAGGTGACCTTAGGTGTGGTCAAAGAGTTAGGTTTCCAGGTACCTGTTCTTACTATTGAAGACAAATAATTGACAACATTTCTGAATTTGTTTAGTTCACTGTATGACTCACAGGGAGCTTCTGGTATCTACCATGCATCTAGTGAGGGTTCACAACTGCACTTATCAGATATCTAAAGACCCTGCTTGGGGAAGGTAAGCTGGGCCTCTTTGGGGATGAGTTGGCTCCAAAGTGACAACCCTGGAATTGAGTTTGTCCTCTGTTAGTTATCTGGTTCTTGAGCCAAATAGGTCCGCAGAACTCCGAGGAATTGGTTCTTAGCAAATCATTAGGAACAGACAAGTCACCGGAGCAAGGATTGTTCCCATTCAGCTTCTGTTAACCTTGGAAGCGAAAGCCCTAATGGGTAGAATGGCCCTAGTTGGACAAGCAGTAAGAAGCTTGCTATTACTGTATTCACAATGGTAGGCTGTGTGGCTTTAGCTGGATAAACCCAAATGCACAGTTTGGGGTCCTTAAGCCTTGGCTCTTGCCAAATTGTGTCTAAACTCTGCTGAATCAGATAAGCATTGTGAGTTCCTCTGTAGAGAGAATGTAAACTCCATGCCAGACAAATGGATATCATACATATGTGGAACTCACAATTTTCTTTGAAGACTCTTAAGTAGTTATGGGTTTTTGCCTGTGTCAGTTATCCATATAACCAAAAGAGAAAGCTGACATCAACACACCAGATGCTTTTATTATAGAAATATCAGGGTATTTTTGTAAATACTGTGTATAAGTGTTGTACGCATACAGGTAATGTTGATTGGTTTTGTTCAAGTTGAGTGTGACTGAATGATACATTCGCAATTTGTAATTGAATGAGTACAATGCATTATTCATCTCTTGCACACATTTCATCACCATTCTATACACTGTCAGAATGTAAACAAAAATTAAATCCATAGAAAATGCGGAAGGATTTCGAACTCGTCCATCATTTAACAAGCAATGAGAGAGGATATGACAACTGTAATATAAAACATGGATGCCTCCACAGCAGAAGGCACTTGGCAGACACTGTAGGAATGTTGAATGTCAAAACAGGCGTCCTAGTTGACAACTTTGAGCAAAGTGAGAGACACTGAAAGGTTTACTGAAATTCCACTGTACTGACATAACAAAACAACAACCACACTGCATTAAGGAATATTTTGATGCCGTTTCACTTTACCAGAGTATATTAAATGCAGTAAAGTGAAACCTGAAACAGACTCTGTGAAGCAATAAAAGAAAACTTACCACGTCCTTGAGTAACCCCATAAAACTCTGCTGCTATTCGTGCCGCTTCTTTACGGTTCCCTTTGACTATGTAGAAGTGGCTCAGAATGGCGAGGCTAATTTTAACAAATAACTTGAAACAGAAAAGCGCAAATATAGAGAAATAGACATTGGCTAAGTGCTGGGAAAAACGGTCGCTTTCCACTCCAGTCATTGCTTCCAGTCAGCAACAATAAATGTTTTCATGTGAACTCTGGCTTGCTTCACAAGCTCCCTTAACAGCTGGGACCTGGCAAACTAAGTATCAGGTGGTTGTAACAGTGCCTGCTCAAAATCTATTTGAAGTATATTTGTCATGGAAGCTTTATTTTTGCTAATATACTATACAGAAGAACTTGTGTTGCTCATCTGATAGAACAATTTATTCCATGGACATTATTTCCCGATAGACTATTCATAGCTGCTCCCAACTATTCATAGCTACGGAAATAGAAATGATTACAGTACACGTTAAGATCTTGGAATGCTGTTAAACTATACCTAAACCAATGACTTATACGTTAATATTGTCCACTTACACCAGTCCTTGACAGGCTCCACTAGCTCCCAATCACCGAACAGATCGAAGTCAAGATCCTCTCACTCGTTTTTAAATCACTTCACTCCCTTGCACCTCCTTACCTACCCGACTTGCTTATTCCCCATTCCACCACCCACTGCCTCTGCCCGGCTGACTCCGGCCTCCTATTTGTCCCTTGTGCCCTTCGTTCCAACATCAGTGGCTTCAGTCACAAACTATACCTTGAAAATCTGGAACGCTTTCCCTCAATCCCTCCACTTTTCCCCCCACGATCCACCTTCAAATCCCACAAACAGACCTTCCTTTTTGATCGTACTTAGGGTCACCTCCCCCCTCCCTTTTCCGCTGGCCCATTGTCAGACTCCGCCACTGTGAAGTGCACCGGGACGCTACCCAGTGTGAAGGGCGCTATAATGTAAATGCAAATTGTTGTTGTACTCTGGAGAAAGAGCCCTCATAAAATCATGGAACTGACATGCAGAGTCATGTAAGATATATTGCACTGGAAAGAGATCATAATATATAAATGTTTTGTGCTCCTTTCTTGAACATATATATTTGCCAAGGATTTGAAAGTGATTTTTTTAAATAAAATAATATAATAATAATCCTTGCATTTTGTGTAGCGCTTTTCTCATCTTCTAGACGTCTCAAAGTGCGTCACAGAATATACTGTAAAGTGAATTGACTGTATATGTATGGTTTTATCATTTTTCCTGAAGATGCTGTCATATAATTCCAGACGTCAGTAATCCTCCAGTATCTCACTTGTTTGTTTCCTCACAATTTTTCTGTCCTTTCCTCCTCAAGGAGTTTAATTTGTTTTTTTTCTGCTGGGGATATAGTTCTCCAGACACCAATCGTGAAGTTTGACAATGCTTGACAATGGATGGGGTCTATTATGAGAGTTGTGTAAAAGGATTTGTATTAACTGCTCTGGGACACTAGCTTGCACTGCTTATTGTTCATTTTATTCTGTAAGTAGAAAAAAAAACTGAATTAAAGTTTATTGATTGTAACGTTAAAGCAATGTAATCTTTATCTGAGTTTTAGTATTGTACTGTCTCTCCCGAAAAGATTTTGGCAGCAGTCAATATAATTAATTATCAATACATAAAATCAAGAGGATTTTCCTAAGGTTTGCAGCACTTCTACTCAAATCAATATGATCGCTTATAACACTTGAATCCTTAATCCATCATTTGTCACTGACAACTGTTTGTAGAAGTACATATTTCCTATTAAAATAATATGACTCATATAATGCAAACCACAGTGTCAATGATGCCAACTTTGTTTGCATCTTTCTTAATTTTCCATTGGTTTCTTTTTATAGGATGTTGTGGGCATTGCAGTATCGTCAGATATGAGCATAATTTTATGTCTTGTGAAGCTTTTATATTATCTGGTGCTAAATAGGCAAGTTGAGTTCTGTGACCGATATCAAATTGCTAGTTGTTGGAAAAAGCACCATGTGATGATATCAAAAGGCAACTCCTGACAAGCTCGCAATAGTTGTGGTAACATCATATGATCACAGAGAACGATTACGGTGTTTACACAGGAGATAAGATATAAATCATCGCAGTTTGAGATTAAATGGAACCATAGAATGTCCAGCCCAGAACGAGGCGATTTAGCTCATTGTATCTGTGCTGCTGACTGTTCAAGTAGACATTAAAGATGACATGTCACTATACAAAATAGGAAATTTCTTTGAGTATTCTGGGTAATAATATTCCAGATAAATTGATCATTCTCTGGGATCTTGAGGTGCTTAATTTGGTTAGTGTGTTTGTGTACAAATGCACAGTCACTACACTAGACAGGAGTTTCCTGTGAATCACTTTTGCTTTAATGATACAGGCAAGATCACAGGATAGGTTTTGATGGGCTGGCCTTCAGCCTCTCTGCCTCCATCCTCTGGAATTCCATCCCACAGTCCCTACACCTCCCCCCCTCCCTTGCCTCCTTCAAGACCTGTCTCAAGACCCTCCTCTTCGATCGTGCCTTCGGTCACACTCCTACCCTTACCCGCTCAGCCCTCCACCCCTCCTAATCCCAACCTCCTGCTCAGGTGCGGATCCCTGTCTGTCCAGCGCTTTGGGACGTCCCCTGACTTGAAAGGTGCTGTACACATACAATTTGTTGTTGTTGTTGATGAAGATGGCCCTTGGCCCACTGAATCTCATCCCACCAGAATGCCTACCTTACTTTCCTCCCATAATAATAATAATCCTTGCATTTGATATAGTGCCTTATCTGGCGAGGCGATGTCTCAAAATGTTTCACAGCATACACTGTAAAGTAGTTTTGACTGTATATTTTGTTGGTGAAATATACCTCTATAAGATCCCATCTGAATTATCTTCTCTCAAGACTGAAGAGCTCTAGCTTGTCTAATCTTAGGTCACTCCTCTAAAATTGGGGATCATTCTTGTTGCTCTCCTCTGCACTGCCTCTAGGTCCTGCCTCTAGTGTTGCGGTAACCAGAACTTTATCTAATGCTCCAGTTGGGGCCTAACCAGAGCAATATATAACCTAGTATGATGTCTCGGAATTAAACTCGATTGATCTGGCAATATTGCCCAACTTCATGTTTGTCATGTTTTATTGCTACCTCACACTATTTTGACGTAGTGAACGATGTGTAATTAACACCCCTAGATCTCCTTCAGCTTTCTATTGGAAAGTTCAATTCCATCCAGTGCTTGTGTTTCCTATTTTTACTTCTTATTTGTGTAGTATCTTGCATTTATCAATATTAAAATGACTTGTTGCCAGTTATCAAATACAAGGATAATTACTTCAATGATTTGTGCTGAAATTACGTTTCAGGATGTTGGAAAGAAGTGGTTAATACTTTGCTTTGAAATGTGTGCATGTACCCCATTTCACAATTTCCCACCTAAACTCCCCCATGACGTCACTTCTGCCCACCAGGTTTGAATCCCAGGTGTAGTATAGTCCATTGGTATCTTCTTTCCCTCCTCTGTCTTCTCCCTGCAGGCTGCTCGGTGTTATCCAGGTTGGGCTTCTCAGCTTCACTCCTTCCTCTCATGCCAGTCCCTTTACGAACCCCTCCAATCGGGTTTCCCATGCTGCCCACAGCATGGAAACAACCCTGGTCAAATTGACCAGGACTCTCTCTGTCTCCTCATCCTCCTCCACATCTGTGCTGCCTTTGACACTGTGGATGACTCTATCCTCCTCCACCACCTCTCCTCTCACCTCAACTTTCAAGGTTCTGTCCTAGAATGGTTCAAATCATATCTCTCACATTGGCTCCACTTTGTTTCCACAAAAGACTTATCCTCCAGCTCCTGCACTGTCTTGTGCGGTGTTGCTCAGGGCTCCGTCCTTGGTCCTCTCCTCTTCAACCTGTACATGCTCCCTCTTGGTGACATCATCAGCAGACATGGACTCAACTTCCACATGTACGCGGATGAAACCAAATTCTATGTCTCTGCCGCCACCCTCGACTCCAGGATCACTGCTGTCCTGACAGACTGTCTGTCAGACATCAAGTCCTGGATGAGAGCTAATTTTCTCCAGTTGAACATCAACTAGACCGAGGCTCTCCTGATTGGCTCTGGTCAGCGCCTCCTCACCTGGGGCACTGGCAGCATCAGCATCCATGGATGCACACTCCACCTCATCAAGCCAGTTAGGAACCTAGGCATCTTGTTCGACCCTCAACTGTCCTTTCTCCTCCAAATCTGTGCCATGACCCATTCTGCCTTTCCCCACCTCCACAACATTGCCTGACTCCGCCACCTCCTCATCCATCAGGCCGACGAAAGCCTCATAAATGCCTTCATTACAACCAGGCTCGACTATGCCAATGCCCTGCTTGTCAGCCTTCCCAACTCTTCGCTCCACAAGCTGCAGATCATCCAGAACTCTGCAGCTCATGTCCTCGCCTGCACTAGGCTCTGTGACCCCATCACCCCCACCCTCGCCCGGCTCCGCTGGCTCCCCATTCCTCAGAGGATAGAGTTAAAAATTCTCGTCCGCACCTTCATGGCCCTCCTACCTCTCTGATGTACTAACCCCTTATCAACCTGTCCACTACCTCTGTTCAGCGGGCTCCAGCCTGCTCCATGTCCTTCACCGAGCCCGCCCCACCATCAGTGGTCGGCCCTTCAGCCTCTCTGCCCCCATCCTCTGGAACACCATCCCACATTCCTTGCCTCACTCCCTCCCTTGCCACCTTCAAGGCATGCCTGTGGAGTCCTGTAGCTCAGTGGTTAGAGCACTCGCTTTGCAAGCGAGAGACCTGAGTTCAATTCCAGGCAGAGCGAAACCTTGGGCAAGTTTCCTTACTCCACACGCCTAATAATAATCCCTTCAAAACCAAAAACAATAATAAATTTGTCATTTTCAATCTACGACTGTTTGTGGGACATTGCTGTGCGCAATTGGCTGCCGCGTTCGCCCACAAATATACAGTCAATTCACTTTACAGTGTGTTCTGTGAAGCGCTTTGGGACGTCCTCCCGACGTGAAAAGCGCTATATCAAATGCAAGGATTATTATTATTATTATTATGCCTCAAGACCCTCCTCTTCGACCCTCCTCTTCGACTCTTCGGCCACCATCCTGTCCTCTCTACCCTCAGAGGGTCCATCCCACCCTCTGATCCCAAACCCACCCCCCCCCACCCCCGGCCCACCCCCACTCGGGTCCCAATTCCTGACTGTTCAGCGGTTTGGGACATCCTCCCGATGTGAAAGGTGCTTTACAAATTTTGTATTGTATTGTGTGTACATCATGCCAACCTGTGAGAACTTGGCTTCAGTCCAAGATCTCATTGCAGTCAGGATTGTGCTGACGATGCGTTATATACGTGGGAAATGTAGGAAATGCACCTTGCAACCTGAGGAGGGTTTCAGCTGCTGTTTTCCAAATGAGTGATTTTTGTACCTTTGATGCCTCCCTTCACTGAAAAGGCTTGCTACAGATCGTCACTTAATTTTGCACAGAACACTAAGGTACAGAGGAGTTACTAACTAATTGTCACCTTTATGATGCTGTTATTCAGATGAGTCAAGGATGGCTTTGGTGATTAATTTGGTGATTAATGGTGGCAAATCAGAATTAACAATATTAAATAACTTGAGGCATACATGAGGGAGAAGGAATTGGAAGGATCTAGGAGAGATTTGGGTCTCTCCTAGAGGGGAAAGATAAACATGGACCAATTGGGCCTAATGGTCTGTTTCCTTGCTGTAACTTTCAAGAGCACCAAAGACGCTTCCCTTGCACGAAGGGCATTATTTGTGGAGTCCTTTGATTTCCGGGCAGAACGAAAAGTTAGGCAAGTTTCCTTACTCCACACGCCTGTTTACCTAGCAGTAAGTAGGAACCCATTTTTTAGTTGATTGGCGGATTGCTTTTCCAGAGGTGATAATCCCTGCAAAAAAAATTATAACAATTTGGTCATTTAATCCAAATGACTGTTTGTGGGACACTGCTGTGCACAATTGGCTGCCGTGTTTAGAAGATGTGATAAGGCTCTATATAAAATGCGAGGATTATTATTATATAAATGTGAGTTGTCATTTTAATTAATTCTATGTAACTTAACCTTTGCTGTTCCACTGGTAAAATACCCAAATTTTGAAACATGTCTGCAGAAGCATAACTCCTCATCCCTAGTGTTGATAATTTCAAGAACAAATTGAACAGATTTTTGTTAGGAAATAATATCTCATGATACAATATATAGTTTGGGACTCGACCTGTGCATGCAACTAACAGGATGGTTGAAAGCGAACTGGATGGACCTTGGTCTTCTTTGGCCTAACAAATTCTTATGTTCTTATGATGCAATCTCCTGGAATCTCCACATTTCCTTCTCCATATGAACGGTCCGTAAATGGACCCTCAAAACTGGATGCAATAATTAAACTGCAGCCAATCAATGTCCCGAACAAATAAAACATATCCTTATTCTTTCATTCAATGACCTTACATATACAAGCAATAATAACATTTGCTTTTTTCTTGTTTTATCATCTTGTACTGCCACCTTTAAAGACCTATGTATCCCTGCTTCCATTTTCTTACATTCTTTCTATTTTCTTTTATCATGTACATGCTTTACATGCTTCTGTATTTCACTGATTTTATTAACAATTACTCCTGTCTTTCAGCAGTTGTGTGGCACGTAATTCTTGTGGTTGAATAAGTCCTGCAACAGAGACCTTCTTCCCTCTCCCCAATAGCACTGATCCAGAAACAGCAGCATATAATATTTCAATTCTGCACAGCTCCACCAAGTGACTGCAATTAGGGACAGCATTTTTTTGGTCATTGGTGACTGACAGCTGTATCACCATACTGAAGGATATATATATCATAATACTCCTTGCACTTGATATAGCACTTTTCAAGCCTTCCAGAAGAGAATCCAAATGAGACTCCAAGTTCCACATATGGATATCACCAACACATAGAAATGTCCCTATGTCTGGAATGGAAAGTGCACCCCCTCACTGAAGAGATACACCCGGTTTACCTAATTTTGGAGAGTATGAGGCATTGTTTGGCAAGAGCTAAGGATTGGGGACCCCAGGGCATACATTGGGGTGTTACTGAAGTTTAATCAGCCAAAACCTTATCACTACATTGCCCACCTCCACCCCTATCTCTTAACAGAATGCAACCTAAACCCTTATTCTGGCCTTTGCCGTCTGTCTGTCCCCATCTTCACTCTTAAATTTACTCTTTCCTCCATCTCCTAGCTCCATCGTCAATCAGATGCAGTTAATGCAAAACTCCACCATCTACATCCTCAACCAACAACAACAACAACAAGATTCCATTTATAACCACATCAAACTCGGTATGCTCATCACCCCAGTCTTCCCCAGGCTCCACTGGCTTCCTGCCTGCGAATGAATCAACTTCATGATCCCCAGTCTCACTTATAGATGCCGATGCCTTCAAACCTAACACCTCCATAAGTCTTGGATCTTCTATCCCATTCCGCTGCTTGGCTAACTTGCGCTTGCTGAATGTGTACCTTGCCATTTGCAGCACCAGTACACATGTAGCTGAGTCTTCAGATATGTTGCCCCTAAACTCTAAAACTGCCTCCCTCTACCTGTCTTACTTGCCTTAAAACCTACCTACCTCTTCAACTGTGCCTAAGGTCACCAACCCCTTGCATGGCAACTGACCCCTCCCCATTATAAGGTACTCCAAGACATTATCCCACCTGAATGGTGCTACATAATTGTTGTATAGTGGTTATTACTTCAGGAAGACGTCTCAAATTGCTTCACAGGATTTGTTGTAAAAGTATAGTGAATGTGCATGTTGTGGATAAACAAGGCAGCCAATTTGCACATAGTAGTGGTCCAAACCGCCATGAAGTGAATGACCAATTTTATCTGGGGGAAATGTTGTCCAGGACACAATGAGAAATTTCCTTCTCTTTTTGAGTTGTACCATGAGATCTTTAACATCCACCTGAACAAGCAGACGGGGCTTCGGTTCTTAGACCAGTAATGGTTGGTCAACCAAATGCAATTTTCTTTATTGAATTTTTCTTCATTCATGGCCGCTCTATGGGTATTGTGGCTTGGAATCTACTGGAGCGGGTGTTCGGCAAGGAACGGGCCACTTCTTGATGCCCGTATCCTGGGCCACTTTTAGGGTATCAAGAAGTGACCCACCAAACACCCGCACCAGTCCAGGCAAGTCTGTGCAAAACCAATACCTTGTTTTCAGTAGCCACTGAACCATGATACCCACAGCATGAGGAGGGTTTGGGGGAGGGGTTTGGAGGAGGTGTTTGTGAGGAGGGTTTGGGGAGAAGGGTTTGTGAGGAGGGTTTGGAGGGAAGGGTTTGTGAGGAGGGGTTGGGGGAGGGGTTTGGGGGGAGGGGTTTGGAGGAGGGTTTGGGGGAGGGGTTTGGGGGAGTGTTTGTGAGGAGGGGTTGGGGGAGCGGTTTGGAGGAGGGGTTGGGGGAGGGTTTGGAGGAGGGGTTGGGGAGGGTTGGGGAGGGTTTGGGGGAGGGTTTGGAGGAGGGGTTTGGGGAGGGTTTGGGGAGGGGTTTGGAGGAGGGTTTGGGGGAGGGGTTGGGGAGGGGTTTGGAGGAGGGTTTGGGGGAGGGGGTTGGGGGAGGGGTTTGGAGGAGGGTTTGGGGGGAGGGGTTTGTGAGGAGGGGTTTGTGAGGAGAGTTTGCGGGAGGGGTTTGGAGTGAGGGGTTTGGGAGGAGGGGTTGGGAGGAGGGGGTTTGGAGGAGGGTTTGGGGGAGGGGTTGCGGGAGGGGGTTGGGGAGGGGTTGGGGGTTGGGGGAGGGGTTGGAGGAGGGGTTGGGGGAGGGGTTTGTGAGGAGAGTTTGCGGGAGGGTTTGGGGGAGGGGGTTGTGAGGAGGGTTTGGGGGAGGGGTTTGGGGGGGGTTTGGGGGAGGGGTTGCGGGAGGGGGTTTGGGGAGGGGTTGGAGGAGGGGTTGGGGGAGGGGTTTGTGAGGAGGGTTTGGGGGAGGGGTTTGGGGGAGGGGGTTGTGAGGAGGGTTTGCGGGAGGGGGTTGGAGGAGGGGTTTGCGGGAGGGGGTTGGGTGGTGACTGGTTCCCTCTGGGAGCGGAACCTCTGTTCGGGGCACTGGTTACCCGCGGCACCTGCTGCTGGCGGACAGCGTCAGACAGGAAGTGCGCGGCCTGTGCTGTCCCCGCAGTCAGTCACTGCCCCACTCTCTGTGTGTGTGTGTGTGTGTGAGAGGCAGAGACTCGGCGCCGCCATGAACACGGTGCTCTCCCGCGCCAACTCGCTCTTCGCCTTCTCGCTGAGTGTGATGGCGGTGCTGACACTCGGCTGTTTCCTCACCACAGCCTTTAAACAGCGGGCGGTCACCGTCAACATCCAGGTGTCAAAAGTCATGTTGTGAGTAACCGGGAGAGACCCGGGACACCCGGGGGGGAGAGACCCGGGACACCCGGGGGGGAGAGACCCGGGACACCCGGGGGGAGACCCGGGGGGGAGACCCGGGACACCCGGGGGGGAGACCCGGGACACCCGGGGGGGGAGACCCGGGACACCCGGGGGGAGAGACCCGGGACACCCGGGGGGGAGAGACCCGGGACACCCGGGGGGGAGAGACCCGGGACACCCGGGGGGGAGACCGGGGGTGGGGGGACCGGGGGGGGGGGAGAGACCCGGGGGGGGAGAGACCCGGGGGGGAGGGGGGGAGACCCGGGACACCCGGGGGGGAGACCCGGGGGGAGAGACCCGGGGCACCCGGGGGGGAGAGACCCGGGGGGGGGGGGAGGACCGGGGGGGGGGGGGGGGGGGGGGGGGGGGGGAGAGACCCGGGGGGGGGGGGAGACCGGGGGGGGGGGGGGGGGGGGGGGGGGGGGGGGGGGGGGGGGGGGGAGACCCCCTGGGGGGGGGGGGAGAGACCCGGGGGGGGGGGGACCCGGGGGGGGGGGGGCCCTGGGGGGGGGGGGGGGGAGACCCGGGGGGGGGGGGGGAGAGACCCGGGGGGGGGGGGGGAGGAGAGACCCGGAAGGAGAGACCCGGGGGGGGGGGGGAGAGACCCGGGGGGTGGGTGGTGGTGAGATAGATACAAGGGTTTCAGAGGGGTCACAGAGAGATGCGGGAACAGAGAGGAGAGATAGAGAGGAGAGAAGGGAAGAGAGATTTAGGGGGAATAGATGGGGAGAATAAGAGGGTGCAAGAGATGGGGGAAGGGGAGGGAGAGATATGAGGAGAATAAGGGGCCAGAGAGAGATGGTGGGGGTGGGAATAAGAGGGGATAGATGGGGAATAAAAACTGTAAGTCACTGGTTAGGCCTCAGCTGGAGTATTGTGTCCAATTCTGTGCACCACACTTTACAAAGGATGTTCAGGCCTGTAGGAGAGGGTGCAGCGGGGATTTACCAGAATGGTACCAGGGATGAGGGACTTTAGTTATGTGACTTTAGAGCAGTTGAGAATGTTCTCCTTAGAGCAGAGAAGGTTAAGGGGATATTTGATAAGAGGTGTTCAAAATTATGAGAGGCTTGCATAGAATATATAGGGAGAAACTGTTTCCATTGGCAGGTAGGTCAGTAACCAAAGGACATAGATGTAAGGTAATTGGCAAAAGAACCAAAGGGAAGATGAGGAGAATTTTTTTTACACACAGTGAGTTGTTACAATCTGGAATGCACTGCCTGAAAGGGTGTTGGAAGCAGATTCAATAATAACCTTCAAAAGGAATTGGATAGATACTTGAAAAGAAAAAAGTTGCAAGGCTACGGGTTAAAAACATGGATTGCTCTTTCAAAGAGTTGACACGGGCACAATGGTCCGAATGGCCTCCTTCTCATTGTGAATCTTGCTTGCAGAAGGGAGGCCATTCGATCCATCGTGCCTGTGTCAGCTCTTTGAAAGAGCGGCAACTCGTTCCACTCCCCCACTCTTACCCTGTAGCCCAGCAAACATTTCTGTGCAGTAGGATTCTATGATTCTAAGGAAGGATAGAGAGAGATGGGGGGAATCCGGGGCTGGAGAGAGATGGGGGGAATCCGGGGATAGAGAGAGATGGTGGGAATCCGGGGCTGGAGAGAGATGGGGGGAATCCGGGCTGGAGAGAGATGGGGGAATCCGGGGCTGGAGAGAGATGGGGGGAATCCGGGGCTGGAGAGAGATGGGGGGAATCCGGGGCTGGAGAGAGATGGGGGGAATCCGGGGCTGGAGAGAGATGGGGGGAATCCGGGGCTGGAGAGAGATGGGGGGAATCCGGGGCTGGAGAGAGATGGGGGGAATCCGGGGCTGGAGAGAGATGGGGGGAATCCGGGGCTGGAGAGAGATGGGGGAATCCGGGGCTGGAGAGAGATGGGGGGAATACGGGGCTGAGAGAGATGGGGGGAATCCGGGGCTGGAGAGAGATGGGGGAATCCGGGGCTGGAGAGAGATGGGGGGAATCCGGGGCTGGAGAGAGATGGAATAAAGAGGGCAGAGGGAGAATGGGGACAGAGAAGGGAAGAGACATACATGATGAACATAAAGGGGGAATACAGAGAGGGTGAAAGTGATATCGGGAGAGGGGAGAACGGGGGAATAGAAAGAGGAGAAAGACTTGGGGCGGGGATAGAGGCATTGGGGGAATGGTGGTGGTGGTGGGGGGGAAACATTGTTTGCACACATTTCATTATTGTCAGATATCAATTCAATATCATTCAGTTCAATGCCCCCCTCCCCCCCCCCGTGTCCCAGCCCCTTCTCCAGCTGTTCTGCAGCTGTGACAAATACCTCCCGCCCTTCACTTCCTGATTTAAAATCCTTTTATTTTGTTTTGGGGAGAAAAAAAAAGCCCCGTTTGCACAAAAAGTGCAGCACTGTAAATGATACCTTGTTTTATTTTTTTTATATTTAAAAAAAAAGGGGACTACGTGTTAAACGGCCGAGAGGTTTGCGTTGAGAGAACAGATTGAATCTGTGGAAGTTTGTGTGTCTGGTACCATATGGTGAGGTGACCTCGAGGTAACAAACAGCCTTTTACTGTGGATTATTTTTATAAGCAGCAGTGCATTTCCAACCACCTCTCCCCCCCCCCCATTGGACACACATCGGCGGACGACGTATTTGCAGTGCCTTCGACTAGTGTTTGAACACGTTGCGGGTTTTTATTTGCACCCAAAGCTGCGGCTGCGGTTTCATTGCCTTCTCGGTTCCTACCAATGAATGCAGTGCACGTTTCCGCAGCTCCTGCAGTGAGCGGTGAGCAGCTGCTGCCGCCCCCCCCCCCCACCCCCCCCCGGACACCGAGGTTACTGCACCGACTGGAGAGTGCGGCACTCGGCCTCCGGACCGGGCGAGTGACTGTCCCGATTGCATATTCCAAGTTGTGTGCACTTCTAACAAAAAAAAGACATAGCACATGTTTATCCAATCGAATGCACACGGGGGACTGGACCATCAAAGGCTTTTTGCTGCAGGGTCTGTGGCTGCAGCAGGTATTGCTGGCTGCAGAGTCTTTTAAGGTAGACTTGTATTGGTGGATGGGTTCCAAAGCAATAAGTAAATATGCACCGGCAGGTCCAGTGCAACTAACTGAGGCAGCTGTTTTTTATCCGTACATTAGTTGTAGATGATCTTACTATGGGTCCAGTCTACACTGATGGAAGCAACGCAATATTGTAGTAAAATGATTAGGATAGGGGATGACAAAATGCTTGTTGCAGGGAACATTTGGAGAGGGGTGAAAATGCAAATATTTCTTAGTTCACACTCCTCTTCCCCCCTCCCTCCAGATACCTCTTCCCTTTCCTCTAAAGGAAAGGAAAGGGAAGCTTGATTTGCTTCTCACTCCACGACAAGCAGGCAGTTTGCATAATCAAGCCTGGATGTTATGAACGCGTGTATGAGGGTCTCGTTGGCCAGTTGGTTAATCAATTCAGATTTTTTTTGGAGGTAGATTGAAATTGTTAAGCATGCTAGTTAACTTCTCTTCCAAAAGAGAATATTTATTTCTTCTCTTGCCTTGTACCTTTGAAATGAATGTGGCAGTGTTTTCTGCTATGTGTGTCTGTGTTTTGGTGATTTGGGGCACTTGACTGTATTATAGAATGGTTAGCATGTTTAAGTGTAGTGGAATAACTGCTCGGCCCAATGGCTTTTATGATTAGTTGTAGCATTGTTATACCATCGTTCATTAAGCAGAAGTATAGTGTGGGAAAGATGTATTTTTACATCTGTGTTAGCAGGATTTCTTCCTCCTGACCCACTTATTGAAATATGGTGCTCAGTGTTTTTTTGTACAGTACATTTCTTACAGTTGAGTGGAGTCCTGTCGCTCAGTGGTTAGAGCACTCACCTGGCAAGTGAGACACCTGAGTTCAATTCGAGGCCGGGCAAAACCTTGGGCAAGTTTCCTTACTCCACACACCTAATAATAATAATCGCTCCAAAACAGTAATAAATTGTTCATTTTCAATCCATGACTGTTTGTGGGGCACTGCTGTGCACAATTGGCTGCCGCGTTCGCCCACAAATATACAGTCAATTCACTTTATAGCATATTCTGTGAAACGCTTTGAGACATCTAGAAGGTGTGAAAAGCGCTATGTCAAATCCAAGGATTAATTAATTAATTTAACAGTCAGTTAGCATTCCCTAGTCATACGATTGGTATAATTGAGATTGATCTACTTAGATTGAACAATTGAAATGAGGCAAAATCAAGTTGTGTTTTCTTTGTGTTTGCAACCAGTAAATTGGACACCTCATTGAGCTATTTGATATATGTCTGTTTTAAAGTGGTGAAATTTGGTGAAATTAGGCAAATATGCATTTTATGTAGGCTACAATTATGATTACGTTTTTCCCTGTTCAGTTTATCTGCTATTCTAATTATTCTAACTGAGCAATACTACCTTAACATGGTTCAGTAGCTTTGGTGAATTGGGACACTTGTTTAATCTTTTTAGGAATTTAGTGATTTTTTTTCTATCTGTGTATAAGCTTTTCGATTTGATCTGGCTGTGCTTTGCAAACTTCATAAAGGTATGGCTGGGCATTCACGCAAGGTCACTGTAACTTCAATGATTGGGATAATGATCGCCTGTTACACTGTGCTGACGGTGAACATATTCAATAGGCTGTAATTCTGGTCTTGTTCCAGAAATAATTGTGTGCAGGGTTTTGAAGTTTCTATTTAAATGACGAGGCATTACAAATGTGCAGAGCATCTAAAAATGTACCTGCCTTTTAATGTGCCAAATACTTATTTAAAGGCTGCAGCTGTTTGCTAATATTTATTCAAAGACACTGAATCTATGAGATGGATATTGAAATATACTATAAATTGCTGCAGCAAATGCTGTAAAAGTATGAAAGCTATGGGAAGATAGTTTCCATACTTTTCCAGCATTTAGTCCTAATCTCAAAGTCAAAGCATTAGTGTTCAATACTGTTGACGTGATGGGTAGGATGCATTTTATTGTAATATTAGCTGTATTACATTCATCCACGCCTTAATAAATCACAATTTGTGCTTTTGATATGGTGCCTTTCACATCGAGAGGATGTCTCAAAAGTGCTGCACTGGATTTATTGTAGTTACTGTGGTATTTTGTAGACATTCATTGTGTCCCGGCTTGATTATTATCCATGAGCTTATCACCCCATCCTTGTTTGGCTTCACTGGTTCCCTATCCCCCAGCAGATAGAATTCAAGATCCTCATCCTCGCATTCAAATCCCTCTAAAGCCTCACTCCACCCTCCTTTGCGACCTCCTTCAGCGCGGCCGAATGTCGACCTTTTAACTGTTCTATTCCTGCTTTTTGGAACTCTATCCTAGAATCCCTCTGCCCCTCTCTTTCCACGTTTAACACTCGCGTTAGACTGGGAAGATAAGTGGAGTCTCCATGGAGCTGAACTACTCCAAGGTGACATGCTTGGCAATGCAATGTCGGAAATGGGCCGCCAGCCCTCTGTTTGCAGTCTCGGTAGTCCGGTTCCTGAGCCAGGCGGGTCCACAGATTTCCAGGGCACTGCTGATGACAGCACAGCCAGCCTGGCTCATCGGCAGGAAATCATCTGACACAGCTCCTGTTAACAGTGCAAGCCAAAGCCCTTCTGGGTAGGGTGGTCCTCGCTGGACAGGCAATAGGACAGCTTGCTAGATAGACAGTGATATCAATGGCACCCTAAGCGGTTCTAGCGGGTTAGACTCCAGCAGTACCCCACTTGTGGAGTCCTGTGGCTCAGTGGTTAGAGCACTCACTTTGCAAGTGAGAGACCTGAGTTCAATTCCAGGCAGAGGGCGAAACCTTGGGCAAATTTCCTTACTCCACACAGAGTCTAATAATAATCCCTCCAAAACATAACAATAATAAAGTGGTCATTTTCAATCTACGACTGTTTATGGGACATTGCTGTGCGCAATTGGCTGCCGCGTTCGCCCACAAATATACAATCAATTCACTTTACAGTGTGTTCTGTGAAGCGCTTTGGGACGTCCTCCCGACGTGAAAAGCGCTATATCAAATGCAAGGATTATTATTATTATTAATGCATACTCTGGGGCCTCGAAGCCTTGGCTCTTGTCAGCCTGTGCCTAATATTTTCTGGAATTAGAGAAGCAGGATCTGTCCCTCCAGGGAGAGAGTGCACATTCCATTCCGTCTCTGGGATTTCCATGTGTAGGTGGGATGCATGGAATTCTTAGTTTGGTTTGGATACGATTATGCAGTGTGATACCCAGCTGACCAAAAAAAATCTCTTAAACTTTCTTGTCTCCCCTCCCCCAGCTCGAATGTCCAGTCAACTGTATGAAGTGCTTTGATGATACTTCTGATGTGAAAGGTGCTATTCAAATGTAAATTGTTGGTTGGTGGTAGTTTGAAGTGGGTGGAAGCTTTTGGGCGAAAAGCTGAATAAAATAGTGTTTTTCTGTTTTTATTTGTAATTTAAAATCTTTTAATCCGCATAGTATCAATATTAAAATATAATGCATTCATTACACAGAGGGCTTGAAATGATTAGAGAAATTTGTGCTGATGGGAGTGAACCTTGTGTAGAAATCATTCCTCCCTCACATCTCTACATTTACTTTGTTTCCATTTTTAAATTTGCACGTTGTTTTCTTACTCCTTTAAGGAGGTACTGACTATGATACTGCACGACAGTATTTCATGAAGTGTGCCCCTTAAAATTTCACGAAGACGGTACCTTTTGGTCATAGTGGAGTTTTATTGTAAGGGGAAGTGTTGGCTACAGTTAATGTAAAAGTATCACTCAATATAGGTTTGAGAGAACAGTAAATGTTCTTTTTCCATTTTCGCACATACAGCCTTGGTTTAATTTGAACAAAAGCCTTTAAATTGAAAAGGGAACACTTGATGTTGACCTTGAGAACTGAAGGTGGTGCTCGATCTTTAGATATTCTGCATTGGATTTTTTTTCCCACCTAGACAAATTGAAAATACTAGTGTATTCTAGTGAACAGAAAGTGACCTTTATTTTCGACCGAGCCTTTGGTCACCTTCCTCCCCCTCCCCCTGGCTCGGCCCCGGGATCCGTTACTGTGAAGGGCTCTGAGACGCCGTCCGGCGTGGAGGGCACTATATAAATCCAAGTTGTTGTTGTGTGGCATATAATATTACTAATAATTCTTGCGTTTGATATAACTCCTTATCACGTCTTCAAGATGTATCAAAGAGTTTCACAGAATATACTGTAAAGTGAATTGATTGTATATTTTGTGGGTGAAACGCAGGAGCTAATTGTGCACAGCAGTGTCCCACAAACAGTTGTACGTTGAAATGACCAATTTAAAAAAATTTTGAAGGAGTTATTATCCCCAGAAAAGTGAACCGCCAATCGACTTAACAACCGGGTTCCTACTTACTGCTAGGAAAACAGGGGTGTGTGGAGTAAGGAAACTTGCCCAACATTTTGCTCTGCCATGGATCGAACCCAGGTCTTTTGCTTGCGAAGCGAGTGCTCTAACCACTGAGCTACAGGACTCCACACGCATGAGAGAATTACCTCGTGGGATTTCAAGTTGATTCATTTGAAATAACTTAATCATAATGAGTGGAGATGTATACCGCCTCAATGTTATGCTGTGGGAATGCAGTTGTACTAAATGTTTGGGAGGGTGGTAGAATATTACGCCCACTGCTGGCGAGGTTGCAGAATATTATATCTACTGATAACGGCACAACTGTCATTCCAGCAGCTAATGATCAGTCTCACTGGTTGGTCTGACTGGTTCCAGCTGATCTGAAATTTAATCCAAAAATAGTTTTTGAGACACTGAGGATCAATTATTTGCAGAATACTTTAGCACAGGTCTATGAGAAGCCATAGAAATCATTCCTCCCTCACATCTGTGTACATTCCATTGCATGAGCATCAGATTTGGATGTGAAGGTTCTGGGTTTGAAAATCTTTTGAGGTCAATAGCCTGTCTTGGGAGAAATTCTCATGCTTTTATTACTATATTGTATTAGAACTCAGAAATGTTTGTAAAACTTTTATTGCAGGAAAAATGTAGAAGATTTTACTGGACCTCGAGAAAGAAGTGACTTGGGATTGATCACGTTTGATCTGACAGCTGATATCCTTTGATTTTTTTAAAAAAACTGAAGTCAGAGAGTCGAGACATCCTCCTGACATGATAGGTACTATATAATAATCCTTGCATTTGATACAGTGATTTATGTAACTTGTTTTCACTCCTAATAACTGTCCAGTTACCGATGTTGGAAAATGCGATGATATGAATGGTGGATGGGGTTGGCTGTGGTCCACTCCAAGGTTGAAGAGCCTCACGCCTGACGTGAAAGCTGAAGAATGGCCACGTGTGCAGATGTACTGGTAAATTAGCAGAATGTCATTGAACCTTAGTCAGGGAAAATTGATTACACAGTGTTTTGCTGTAATTTATAAATTTGTTCTTATTATCTTTAACTGCTTTTACATTTGGAGCCAATATTTGACTGGAACGTCAAACAGTTGTTTCTTTATTTATCAGCGGAGTATAAAACCAAAACCAATGTAAGTATATATTTAAATTGTGACACACAACACTTTTTTTTAATGTCGTCAATAGAATTCACTAGTTAGTTTGGTTCAATAGATGCTATGATAAATGATAACAGAAATTTACACTGAAAACTGGTGAATGGTGTCCCAGTGACTCAAGACAGGAAGGCTTTGGCATTATCTTGGCATTGTTGCCACATGGAATGGAGAGATGGGACTGAGACGTACAAAACTACTTTGGAACTAAAAATGTAATTTTAGTGAATACCTTCAAACAGTTTTGAGTAAGACGTTACTCCGGTGAGTAAGACTTGATTTGTGTTCTGTGTGCCTGTATGTTAACTTCAGATTTTATAAAACCGCGCAGAGTTCAGGCAGCAATGTGGAAACTCCATTGCAGCATTACTATGAATTTCCAGCGATCAAATTGCAGCACTGGGTTTATATAACTGGTAACTCATGTACTTGCTACCTTTTAATCACTTGCTCTATAAAAGAGCTTTAGCCCACTCCGTCCCACTTCCCTGCTCTTTCTGCATACCTTTGTAAATATTTAAGTATTTGTCCAATTTACCCTTTAAAAGCTGTTACTGATTCTGCCTCAAACATCAGCTTTAGTTGGGTAATCCATGTTCTGATAGTACATTTGTGAATAAAACTATTCTCCAAATCCTTTTTGGGGGGTTAGTTCTTTCATTTATCAAATGTGTGGAATATTATAACATAGCTTCCAGCTTAAAAAAACTACTGCTAAACAGCAGCACAGCTTAAAATCGTGCTCTAATTTAGTGTGGATAGTGAATATATTTCACCTAGTCTTCTCCGAGTCTGAAATGCCACAATAAGCTCCGGAATGCAGTTTAAACTTTTTAAAAACAGATTCTAATGGCATCAAATACTAAAATAATTAGTACTTCACAATGGATAGTTTTTAATCATGCCAGAGGTTATTACAGTGATTATGAAAAATGATCTCATTAGTAACATTTCAAATGGCTAGAGGTGTTTACGATTATGAATGCAGTGGATAACGTGAAAGTTAATAGGCTGTTTCCACTTGTTGATGATTCCAAAATGAGAAGACGTAAATATAAAATAACAGATCTAAAAGGGAGTTCAGGAGAAACTTTAGATAGAAAGTGGTGAGAACGTGGAACCCACTTATGGAAGCTGTAGTGCAAGCAAAAAGCATCAACATTTTTAAGAAGATACTTGATGCAGGGAGGGAGAAGGCAATAGACAGAATTAGGAAGGGCGGAGGTTTGTGTGGTTTATAAACACCAGCACAGAATAGTTGGGCTGTTTTTGTGCTGTATCATTCTGTGTAATTTTATACAACAATAATTTAAATGTCTCAAAGGTGACATTTGTTTCCATTTATTTCATGTAAATGATTAAATTATTACAATTCTAAACCATGAACAAACTGAGGTAAATATTATGTAATTAAGTTGATAATCAGAGTGTGCTAGCATCTCTGTTCTGTAACACAACTGAGTTTTTCCATAATCTCCATTGTGTGTAAATGCAGGCACTGAACCAGGTTGTTCTCTGGGATAAGATTGTTCTTCGAGGAGAGAAGAAGAAGTTGAACCTGAAGGATGTGAAGTCAAAATATTTCTTCTTTGATGATGGAAATGGCCTAAAGTAAGTAATTACCATGGCTGTAAAGAATTATAGATATGAAACGTATTTGCCCAACTTTATAACTGAGAGGTTAATGAATAGATATGTACTCCCTCAATAATTCAATGACAGTCTTTCCCACCAACCCCTCTTGCGTGTGGAAACTTTCTGCATTGTGAGGTGTTGCAGGGACTCATGCATTAATGTGCCACATCACAGAGTAGGTTCTTTTCTTACCCTACCCTCACTTACTTTGTTTTTGAGCTGGGCAGGGGAGTGTCTGGTTGAAACTGTGGTGTCTTTCCCTGGGGGTGAGATGATGTGCTCCTTATGTGCATCTGTCCTTTATTAATTTGAAGTTAATTTAATAAAGCTATTGTTAAAATTCTTCTACAACTGAATTTTCTCAAAAACAAAGTTTTAGAATTATCCTTAAAGTGTTCACTCTATTCAGATTGTTGATTTGCGTAATGGGACATCTAGCCTTTTGTAAAGGTAATGTTCAGTAGATAGGAACTCAGGGCCTGTATGACGAGAAAGTGATTGCTTCACTGTAGGTTGTGCTTGGGGATGTGACTGATAAATAATAATAATAGAGGAAAAGAGAGACTAGTGAATATCAAATGCCCTGTTCATCCCAGATTTGCGTTTTGAATAAAACGCTTTGAAGAGGGATTCGTGATGAAATGAAAAGTCGCCAATGGGAAAATGTTACGAGTTTGTTGTAAATTGTTTATTTCTTATTAAGCCATCAATCCAAAGGTGCAGTATTTTATGCTGCATACATTGTGGTTTAAATGCATTTTGGGGGCTTTCAATTTTTATGGCCTTTTAAATTGGTTATTTTAAAGTTGTAATTAAATGGCTGATGGGGAATAATGTCATGTGTTAGTTTTGTGAAAGCTTCAGTCCATTTTGCAACTTTCATCCCACCCCTGTTGTACTACATTCCTTAGTTTTAATTCTAAAAGTAAAACAGTCTTAAGTTAAAGAGAAACTCCACAGGCCATTGTCATTTTTAATGCTTTCAGTGGCAAAATTCATGTCTACCATATTCAAAAAAAACTGTACAGGAAAGTACATTTAAAAATGTTGACTAAACGTGAGGATAGATGTAGTGGGTGTGTGGGAGAGGACCCTAGAGGCCGAGTTCTGGATCAACTAAAAGAGATCAGTAAGGAGAGCAAGGTAACAATTATCTTCAAGGTAACAAAGGCGTGAATAAGGGTTTTAGTAGCAAGTGGTAGGGTTGCAAGTGTGTAATGTTCCACAGGTAAAAGAAGACGTTTTCAGTGATGTGGAACTTAGCTCAGGTTCAAATAAAACACCAAGGGTGAGAAACGCCTGGTTCAGCCTGAGTTTAGCATCCAGTGAGGATGATGGAATTGGAGCTAAGGTCATATAAGTGCTGGCGAGAACCAAACAAGACAACTTCAGTCTTGAGTAATAATGGATTTTGGATTGGAACAATAGAATTGAGCTCAAGAGAAAAGATTATGATGACGTTCACAAGTTGTTGTAGAACTTTATATGCGTCTCTTGGTGTCACTGCTGAGCTTGTAGAAGTACAGTAACTATTTTCAGTGATGGCTCCAACATAGGTAAAATCTGATTTCAAATTATCTTAACTTAATTATTCTTTTTTTCTAGTAAATGATTAAATGCACCAATATTGCATGTACTAATAATACAAAGATTATTTAAGTAATTTGGTAGAAAATATCCTTGTCATCTGGTGGTAGCTTTTGCAATGCATTTGTAGTGTTATGCTGATAAATTGTGCACTTTCTCCTTAATATGGACTATATACATAAATATTATGTCCTCCAATTTTAAAACAATACTACCCCTACTGCGGAAAAAATGCTGAAAAGTTATGATTTCAAAATCTTACATACCGCATTTTTTGGGGGGGTTGATTTTATTTTTAAGGAAAAAGATGCTCTTCAGTAGATGTAAAATTGTAAACTTTCACAAGTTCATCACTTCTACTTTATTCTTAGTTTATTGATCTTATAGATGTACACTTTTGAGTTTGATGGCCTGAACTGCATCAGTGATTAACTAAAACGTAGAACCAACCATTTTGTTTCAACGGCTATTCATTTCAACTTGTGTGTCGCCTCGTGTTGTATTGTCACATTTATGTAGTCATACCTTTCAATGTTTCTTTCAACAGAGGAAATGAAAACATCACTTTGACCCTGTCTTGGAATGTGGTCCCAAACGCTGGAATCCTGCCTCTTGTAGTGGGTTCAGGTCACAGTTCTGTTGCATTCCCAGACTCGTATGAAATGACCAAGAGCTATTGAACTTTAAATACTTTTTCTTTTGTTTAAAATACCTTTTACTGTTGTAATTTGAAGCTCATAACTTGGAACATATTTTTATATCCAAATATCATGTCTGTGTGGCTGGGGTGAAAAATCTGAAAATTGCCCCAAATGACTGTTTTTGTATTTTTTGTAACAGACGCACGAGGAATCTTGCATTGTAATATTGATCTTCATTCAAGTTTAATTCCAATATGAGTTTGAGTTGAGCTACAATTAATGTGGCAAACTTTTTTTTCCCCCCCACGCCTCTTCCCCCAGAGAAGTTAAGATCAAATTCATTAATCAACGATGCTTAGGCACCGTTTAATTACTTGAATTATTTTTAAACATCTGTTGTCTTTTTTGCTTCGTGCACTTGTTTTAGATGTTCTGGGGAAGGCTGAGTTTTCACACTCTTCTGTTTTTCTGCCCCTGCTTTTTTCCTCCTTTCCCACCCCAACCAAAGAAAGCCACTTGACTCAATCTCCCAGTGAGAATTTACACAATATGGGGGAAAAAAGAGAAATTTAGGGTGCTCAAGTTTTTAATTTACAATTTCAAAAAGTTTCTGCCTCCCTAATAATGGTAAATTATTAATTTGTTCTATGACTGCCAAGACTCCAGTCAAAACATTTGTTGTGCTAACTGTATGAAGTTAATGTTCATTCATCAAGCTAAAGATTTAAAAAAAAACTAAAATCTACCCCTGTAAACAATTTTTAATGTTTTATTTGGGTCTGTTTTCATATTTTCCTTTGGTGTATATTAAAAACACACAAAGTGAATGGAAGCGTGAGTATTTATACTGATTGTTCTGAAGCCATTAACTGACTTGAGTCTGAAGTTTGCTTGTATCATACAGCATAACATGATTTATACTGTACAATTGCTATGAACTACAAAAATACAGCAATGTGCATATTCTGTGGAACAGAATATATTAAATCTTTTCGGTGGTTTTATTTTGTGCAGAACATTATAATTAGATTAGTGTGAATACTGCAATTGATAAAGAGCAAGGTTTTTGAACTAAAGCTGGGAAGTGAATGTGCTGGTAAAATGAAACCAGATAAAGGTTTTACATCATTATGCCTACTAACACTAAAGCTCATTAGTTATCAGGGTATAACACTTCCAGATCGTAAACATCAGTCACCAGAATTTCAAGATTGTTGAAAGTCTGACATTGTTGTTTTACAAAGTCTGGTCAAACACATAGTCTGATTGTTTTACCTTAAGCTATTGCTAAATTAACTAACATCAGTGCTGTCTTGTAACCTCAAATCAGCCTGAAATTGAAAAGTAAATTTATTTTTACTGGGAAAATTTTAATGTGTTTATGCTAAATAGCGCATAATTGAGGAGAGCAACCAGTTTTATTAATGTATACTGGCCTAGAGTTCACTGGAGGTGGGATTCTTCCCCCTCCCCACCCTTAATAATGGTTGAACGCACAAGCCTGCTGTGCCATGCATTAATATCGTACCAATTGACTGGTGGTAAATGGGTTACCATCTTTACTTAATATACTTTTTTTAAGGCTGCTAACCCAGTGTCCAGTACTGCGATCCTTGAGCTAGTAGTCCAATGTGCAGCTGCCTTCTGTCTGCAACCATTGAGTGGTGTATGTGTGTTCTTTAGTGTTAATTAGCTCTCTGAGAAGCTACTTTGGGTGGAGGGCACTATATAAGTGTAAGCTGTTGTTAATTATCCATTGGTTGTTTGTCTTAACAGTGTGTTAATTAGCATCGTTGATTTTTTTTGTACATCAAGCATGTTGTGGATTATTCTAACAATTATACTAATTTCTAGCTTAAATTAGATCCTTCTCCATTTTTAAGATTGGATGTCCTTCACCACTTCACCAGTCGGAGAGGTGACCGGACACCTCTGGCTTCTGAACAGCATCTAATATAGAAAGTGACTTGAGGAATAATTCCAAATAGTTTCTTGCAATTGCATTTCAGCAAGACACTTTGCCACTTTAGTATGGACCCTAGTATCTTAGCTGTGTTAAGTTACTTGGCATCTGATGGAAGTGCGAGTGTGTACAAGGTTGTCATTTGAATGCAATTCTTCCAGTCTTTTCTGCAGTACATCAATTTTTTTCAGGCTTGCAGGCTGCCCACCATATCTTATGTAACCGATTTATAAAATTAACTATACCATATTGAAGAAAAGCTGGATACACTGGTTCCAACCATTTGGTTTTTGTGTTGGTTTTGTGCATTAATACTCTGGGGAAATTCAGCCTTTCCTAAGGTAGCACTTCATTCAGGTCTCACAACTGTTTGGTGGAATGTATTGTAAATAAGCCCATCGTTTGGCTTTTCTACTCTTGATTTTAAAGGCTTATATAAACACAACTGCAATATGAAATAATAATAATCCTTGCATTTTGCCTTGTGTCTCAAAGCGCGAAATGAAATGAAGATCACAGTGGTTCATTTAGGAGAAAAGAGCTGTAAAAAAGCTGTAAAAAAATGAAACAAAAAAAATGCAAGCCATTGTTTTTCAAATAGGGTGGGGAATGAGATTACCTTTTCCCTAAAAGATTACCTTTAGGTAAAACTTTAAACCGCAAAATACATTTGCTGCCTAAATATTTTAGTTGCAACTTTTCAATTTGGTGTTTAATTTATTTGACCTTTAAATGTAAATTAAGTAAACCCTTGGTACCAGAGGTTACTTTTTTTCCACAATCTTTTATAAAAATCAAGTGAATTTATGATAACAGATAATTCGGATTCTGGCCAGACCTGATATACATTTGATATTTATTTTTGCCACACGTTTTCTTAAATGTCAGAACAGCTCATACTGTTTACTTTCTACAACTGGAAAAGTTGAGGAAAATTTTGGATTTTGTACAAACATGAAGTGTTAATCTTGAAAATGCAACTTCTTATGTTTGTGCATTTCTACCAATAGGTGTCAGCATTTCCTCTTTTACTGTTTTCAAAGTGCACAGCAAGAATGTGAACAAAATCGCTGCTGTGTCTTTTCTGTTTTGGTTATCGGTATATTTACCAGCATTAGTTTACCAAGAAAGGTTAAGTACCCAAATTTTACCGTTTTAATACTTTCTACATTCGGATCAAAGATTTAAGGATTGAAATTGTTCTGTTTCATTAGCACATAAATATATAGTATATTTAATAAATCTATAGAACAAACTAGTTCATAGACAACATTTTTAAAAACTTTTCATTTGAATGCAGTGCTTTTTTCCTAATTTTAATTAGTTTTATATTTTTATAAAACAACACTGATCATTTCTCTGCTTCTTCCCGGCACATAAATGAATTTAAAGAACTTTACTTTTCAAATCCATCACTTTGTCAAATGGCACTCACAAATGGTATCGCAAATCACAGCAATTTAGGGAGGAAAAAATCTGCATTTAAACATTGTTTTTGCTGGTTGGTTCATGTCCTTTATATTTCTGCTTGCTTTTACACTTATTTTGACATTTTCTCAGCTCAGTAACCTGAAGAACTTTAGCACTGGGAATAGAACTGTTTTTTCCCACGTTTGTTTCCCAGTTCAGTGGCATAGGGTAAGCTCCATTTAATAAGGAGATTGCATTAACACAAGCTTTAGACAAGTACTCTCTACTTCAGATAGTAGTTTCATTCTCTCTCATGCACCCCCCCACTCCCGTCAACATCCATTACTACTGTATGAGATTGCAAAATTGAATTGAGCAGTTTAATGATGATGCTTATGCCAAAGAACTGGGGTGAGAACCCAGATTACATTTCATTGTAAAAGCCTGGAGTAGACATTGAGTGAATCAAATGTGGGCTAGATTTGATTAGGTCCCACTGGTGTGAGCACAGTGCACAAAGATTTTAATCAGCCATGAGTAGCCTGAAAAAGTTTGTATGACTAGTGTTTACAAGATGTCATGTTTTTTGTTTAAGCGGTTAAAATATAATTCTGGTATGCAACCAAAACGCTGAAGGCAATGTCCATTGAGTAGCTGATGAGTCTTGGGATGGCAGTTATTGGAAGGTATTCACAAACCTGGAGACCTGGCTGGTGAACTCGCATTCATATATCCAGGGATTGGTACCACTTTGATTGATATGTAGAGAATTATGTGGCTGCTGCTCAAGCTCCACACCTACTGGTAGAACCAATGTTCAGTGGGTAGGGTAGGGATGGATGTCTGAGCTGCGGGCAACAGGATGTGCTGCTCGCAGAGTTGCACATATCTGTTATTTATCTAATGAAAGCTCAAATCTGCTCTTGTAAAATGTAAAATAAACAACTAATGACTAATGAAAGGTAAATTAATTCCAAGGTGATATGATTAGGAACAGAATGTCAGAATTAACTCAATCCTCGTGTCAGTCCCGGTAGTCGGATTCCTGAACGAGGTGGGTCAGCAGTACTCAACAACTTACATTTGCATTACATTGTATTACATTACATATTAAAGGTGTACACAAATTATGTTTGGAATAGGAATCTAAACATTTTCAATTTGTGCAACCAGGCTACCTTTGTCTTAGAGAGAAATTAACAAAGCAGTTGCTCTGAGCCTGGAGGCGCAGCATTGACACATGTTGTCCTGGCCCAGATAGTAGCACTCTTCCCTCTTGAATTAGAAAGTTGTGGGTTCAAGGCCTAAATCACGACTTTGAGCTGATGGTCTCTGTTGACAGTCCACTGCTGTGCTGCATTGTCAGAGGTGCCATCCTAAGCATACAATATAACAGTGAGATCCCCTCTGGCTGGTCATTAAAGATCCCATGCCACTCTGAAAAGAGAAAGGATTTTTTTCCTAGTATCCTGGCAATTGTGTTTGTCTACAATTTCAGTTACTACATTCAAAAAATAAATATAATCCTTACATTTGGTATAGAGCCTTCCATGTCATGAGAACTTCTCAAAGCGCTTCACAGTAAACTGGCGAAACTCTTCAAATAGTGGTGGATTTTTAAAGTCTATCTGAAGAACAGAATGTGCTTCTCCTCATCCAAAGGATAATGTCTCCCAACAATACCCACAGCACCTTACCAGAGTGTCAGCTTAAAATTTGAGCTAAGAAGTGCTAACAAGGGACTTAAGATGCAATCTTCTGATCTAGTCTACTAAACCAAGCTGTAACCAAACCAAAACTTGGTAAGAGAGGGTTAATCAGTGATTATATTAGCCATGCAATGATATAATTGTAAACTATTCATCCACAGTATCTCAATTTACAATGTTTACAATACACACTGCTCAGAATAATTTACTTTTCCTGTAATTGAAAACAATATCCATAGTATTTTAAAGTTATCGGATGTTTGAGTCATGCTGTCTGGTTGGTGTGTCAAATGTTTGATTTATCAAGTTATAACATACTTTCAATTGTATTTATTTCAAGGACCCATTGGTGGACCATCACTTCCTGTGCTAAGTTTTGCGTCAAACAAAGGCTGTTGACGTTCTGATAAAATTTGCTTTAATTGCTCAAGAGAAGGCTTCAGGAAAGGGTAACAATAGCCTTGCAGATATAATCAAGGCCACATTTTTATAGATGTCTGCTGTTTAGGATAGAGACAGACTCTAAAGGATATTAAAAATTGAGAGAAAAGCTGGAGTGAAAACCTGACTGGCTGCACAGATCCAAGACTTAACTTTGTCAATTCTTTTGAGCATAAAAATATTTCTAGGTAACTAAGTTGGTTGAGCAAATTGGATCCTTTTCTAAAGTCTCATGTTTTGTGTAGTGATCTTTTATTCTTTTATTTTAGCTGCTACTATTTTTTAAAGTATTGGGGAAAATAAGAAGGGAAAGTCTCCCAGTGTCCTGGCCAACAATCTCCAGCTAATAATCTCCATTTGCTTCATGACTGTTTGAGAGACACTGCTGTGTCCAAGGTGGCTGCTGTGTTCATCTCCAAAATACTTTACAGTATATTCAGTGAAGCACTTTGAGATGTCCTCCCAATGTCAACTACAAGAGAGTTATTAAAACACCTCCTTGTTTTCTTTTTAAATAGTGGTTTCTTAGTTTATCAAGTTCTGCAAAGAAATGTGTGACTTCTAACAGTGCTGTATTTGTCTTCACCACCTACAGGAAAATGAGTTCCTTTGGAAACCTAGCTCTGTCAGCACAACTTAAGCCATTTTTATATTTTAAAAAAAACCTCAGTGTGGTAAGATATTTTCCCTGGTAGCCTAACACTGACCTCACAGCATTTTAATGATAGTTGTCATTTTACTATTGGGTGTATAATGTACATCACATAGTGCCTCCTTACAAATAAAATCCTATATAATATACAGTCAATTCACTTTATAGTATATTCCATGAAGTATTTTGAGAAGTCTCAATGACGCAATAAGTTGTAAGGATTATTATTATTGTACCTGCTTCCATTTGTCGCTTTTTAACTTGTTTTTCTAAGGTGGGGGGGTTAAAGAGCAGGTTAGCAGAAGGCTTTAAAGGTGGTAGAGTTGTCACTAGTGTCTTACTGTCGTGGCTGAAATGTGTAATTTTGTTTATTCATCTGGCAGGCACACATTCCCTGCAATGGTCTTGAGTTAAAAATAACTAGACCTCAGGGTACCTAATAGGTGCTTTTCTGATTCAATACTTCCTCATGTCACCAGCTACCCAACAAGCTGGAAAGTCTGACCAGCGACCATTTGTTAGCTGTTTTGACTCTGTGTGAATATATGGCCCCAAATTATTCGCATGATAATGGGGTATAACTGTAGTTAGTTGATAGAGTATGTGGCTATTATTTAATGGCTTTATATGGATCCAGTT